ACTGTATACACATTTTTAAAAAATTTATATTGTGGTGATAAATTCCCCAACACTTTGCAGAATATTCTAAAGCATTCCTTGTACTCAAGTATAGTATAGCCAAGTATCGTATAGTCTGCTCACAGCCATACAGACACTACTCGAATGCCAATATAAGTAGTTGTTGGTTAACTCACCAGTACAGTACTGGAGGAACAGGTATTGGACACAATCTCCAATTAAAGAGTGTCCCTTTTGGAAATTGAGTGAATGTGTCCTTTTCTCTTCTGACCATCAAAACTCTGATACATGCTGAGTTTTGGGGAAACATACATGGGGTATGATATTGTCTATTAACTCATAAGACATACCATGTTGTTTCAATATTTTTTTAGTATATTCCCAACAGAAATGCAGCAATAAAAAGATGTATTTGTAATTTGGGATACACTTTTGTCGGTGATGGTCCACTATAGTCCTTTAGACAGGTGGCTCTCTACCTGAAAAATATTTTTGGACAATAGTTGAATTATTTACCTGTATTGCTTTAGGATGAATATCAACTGGTACCACAAGGACTACTAGCTCTGATTCCACGCTGAGGTATCCAAATACATCACACTGGGGTACAGATATGTGAGGCCTTATTTTCTCCAAGACGTCCATGACTGTTACTGGCATTTTCTTTATCTTTGAAGAAAATAGGATCTTGTATAACTTCAAGTATATTCAAGAACAAGAATTTAAAATATGGTGATAATAAAAATGGTGATAGACTGTTATCAGCTGGAAAATTATCAGTTGCAACATGTGTGCAATGCATTTCATTATCACAATTTTACTTTTTTACGAGGATTATTTTTAAACTATGACCTGGACTACAGACATTTCTACTTTCTGTATATTAAACAAAGCAAGACTGTGACGCAGGATAACAGCATTTCCTTGTATATGGCAGAATTTTTGGTACACAGCTCAAATTTTCAAGGTTAACTGGCAAGTGTGCCCCTTCCAGTACTGTGAAAATTGGGGGTGACAGGGGCAGTATGTACAGGAGAGGAGCACAGAAGGTATGATGGAGGCAGTATGTGCAGGATAGGAGTGCAGAGGGTATGACTTGTCGGGTATGGGCAGGAGAGGGATGGAGAAGGTATGAAGAGGCTGATATGAAGTGGAGAAGGTATGAAGAGGACTGGTCTAGCAGCCCAGGGGGAGCCAGCGAGACAGAGGATCAGGCCAGTAAATCTACTTTAAGTCCCCTAGACAAAATAAGCACTTAACCCTTGCAGTGCTGGGGTAGCCCCACTACATGGGTAAGATTTTCAGTAGTATTAACTATAACTGAATTTCTGTACTCAACATAAAATCCTTTACTCTCAGTTTATTGAGGGACACATGGTTTAGAGACAACTGGGTTATATTTAAAAAAAAAATAGTAGTCATCCTGGTGTTAACCCTCCCACTCCCAGCATGCTTCTGTTTTGTAACAAAGCAGTACAGAGAGCAAGAGTCGTAGGTGTGGGGCCTGTGTCCCTCGATGAGCCCCAAGAAAAGGATTTTACGGTGAATACGAAAATACAATTTTCTTTCTTGTTCACTGATGGACAAAGAATTAAAGGACAATTGGGACATTTAAAAAGCAGTCCAACTAGGGGGTGGGAAAGACAGCTAGGAAAGATGCTGCCAATAACAGAGGTACCAGAAGGACCTTATGGCCAAAGCTGATAAGGCCTGAAAATCCACCTGGTAAAACGTAAATAACAGAAGATCAGGTAGCAGCTTCTCAAATCTGGGAAATAGTTGCCTTATGCTGAATAGAACAAGAAGTGCTCACAGACCTTGTAGACTGTGCCTTGACAGGAAAGGGTGGAACCTGATCCTCAAGACCATAAGCTTGAATGATGATCTGTCTGAGCCATAGAGAAATATGAAATATATGTGAACGAGAAGCTGTTTCCTCTTTGTGGATACCATCAGGTATAATAAGGACAATTAAGGTGCCCATACACCTGCTGATTATCATACGATAATCGCGGGTGATCCCGCGATCGTACGATTATCAGCAGGTGTATGGAAGGCGTGCAACCGTTTCTACTGTAAGGTCGCACTGTTTGTCTCCCGAGCAGGCTTGAAAACTCGCCGGGAATTGTACGATTTTCGGCGGGTTAGTGGCTTGCGATGATCGCAAGTCCGATCTGCTTGTCCAAGACGGGCAGATCCTACAAGCTTTTTATTACCTTACAACCATCGCAGGATGAAAGTTGTGCGATGGTTGTAAGGTGTATGGGCACCTTTAGTCTTTCTAACGAAAGCAATGACTGTAATGTCTATGCACTGCTCAAGCTACATCCAGACAATGAAGGGAAATCTCCTTCTGATGTACTGGAGGAAAGGAAGGTAAAAGTCCTGGTGGGGGTGAAAGGATGAAATCACCTTGGGAAGGAAGGAGGCTCTAGGCCTTAACACCTTGCTCTTCTGTAAAACTAGAAAAGCTTCTTTACAGGTCAAAGCCACCAGCTCAGACACACACCTCGCAGAGGTGATGGCAACAAGGAAAGTAACCTTGTCGTGAATCTGAATTAACGGAATTAACCTGGCAACTTCAAAGTGCAGTTTTTGAAAAGCCAAAACAACCAAATTCAAATCCCATGAACAATGGGTGAACACGCAGGTGGAGCCACATAAAAGATAGGAGGCTTCCGATCTTTGGAACAAGATTTGCCCCTTAAATGGTACTCAGAGCCAACTGTTTATCCAAGCCTGATTGCAAAAAAGGTCAGGATTCATCCCATGCAGTATTTCCTGGAAAAGAAAGTTTATTTCCTCACACCAAGCATAGTGTGTCTTCCATGTGCGATTGTAGACCTTCCAGGAAGAAGCTTTTAGCATTGTAGGAATCACTGATTCGGAAAGTCCCTTGTAACTCAAGACCTGGGCTTTAACAGCCCAGAGTGGTAAACCAGTCCTTGAGACAGAAGATCCAGACAGTGGGTGTGAAAATTAAAAAAAACACAACAACAAAAAAAAACTTGTCCAAAGAGTAAAGTGGGGGCCCAATCTACTTGCCCCTCATGACAATCTACTTGTCCTGATACAAAAAATTATTTTAACCAAATACGTATTTAACTATGCTAAGAAGCGCTTCTCATTTGTCATGATGGTCAGGTGACCGTGGCAACCAATGAGTGCTCACAACGGGCGTGCGAAATTCAAAAACCCTAGCACAGGGCTGCACTGGATGGCAGTATGGAGTGCAGATAGTACACCTGTACCGGCGAAGTGGATGGGGGACCATTCGCCGAAAGGTAAGTATACTTGGGGGAGCGGCAGATTTGAGCGCGGAATTCCATTTTTCCAAAGTGCTTGGGAAAGTGAACTTTCCCTATAATGCACATTGTGCGTGTTAGAGAGCGCTGCTGCCTGGCTTCCATAATATGGCACAAAGTGGAATGGGGGTCTCCCTCTCTCTCTCTCTCCACATTTTTAAATTTACCTTAGCAAAGGCATCTAGTTTTTCTTTGTCAAATAAAATCCTTAAAACACCAGAACATAATGGACAGCATGCTCCTGTGTAAACAAACAAAAGAAAAATCAGTACAATTGAAGGAATTATAAAGATGATGCACCATTCTCATATGTATCTAATTGCTTAGATTGTGTTGTAACCAGCTAAAATGTGTCCATTACAATGGGGTACAGTCCATACTGTAAAAATAAAAGTATATTCCAATATAATTAATATTATTTAGAGGTAAGTAAATAATGGAAATCTACTTTGCTGGTGATTAATAAATGTGCCCGAGGATATACAGAAAGCCTGCCCCAACTTATACACAAACCCCCAACCCCAAGTCACATCAAAACAGGTCAGAATTAGTACACAGTTCTGACTGGTTGTAATATAACAATATAAAAACATAATAATATTACAAACAGTACATGGAGAGAGATACTCAGGGATCAAAAGTGTCTAATAGCTCAATAATGAAGGTCTAGCTCTAAAAGTGGGAGGGACTAATACTTTTGTCCTCCACTTTCTAAATAAATGGGTTGTAATCAACTATACCAGTGGTGGCGAACCTTGGCACTCCAGCTGTGCCAAAACTACAAATCCCAAGATGCATCTGCCTCTGGGAGTTATGTCTGTGGCTGTCAGAGCCTTGCAATGCCTCATGGGACTTGTAGTTTCAAAACAGCTGGAGTGCCAAGGTTCGCCATCACTGAACTATACCAATATAACCTTTTACCTTTTCTTGACCTATGTGCTCATGTGCTATGTGACTTTTCGTTTGTCTATTTTCTGCATTATTTCTTTATTTGTTATTATTATTATTATTATATAATATTTATATAGCGCCAACAGTTTGCGCAGCGCTTTACAATGTAAGGAAGACATTACAATTACAATACAATTCAAGACAAGATGGTAAGGAGGGCCCTGCCCCTGAGGGCTTACAATCTAAAAGAGGAGGGGGAAATGATACATGAGGAGGTAGCTGTGAGGGGATGAATTATTTGAGAATGTGATGGTTCAGTGGTTAGGTTGAGGTGGGATAGGCTTCCCTGAAGAGATGAGTCTTTAGGGAACACCTAAAGACAGTCAAGGTGGGAGATAGATGGACAGGTTTAGGTAAAGAGTTCCAGAGGATGGGAAAGTCTCTAGAGAAGTCCTGGAGGCGAGTATGGGAGGAGTTGACTAGGGAGCTGGAAAGCAGGAGGTCTAGGGAAGAGCGGAGTGGACGGTTAGGGTGATATTTTGAGACAAGGTCTGAGATATATCCAGGGGCAGAGTTGTGGATGGCTTTATAAGTGACTATTAATATTTTGAATTTTATCCTCTGGGCGAGTGGAAGCCAGTGTAGTGATTGACAGAGGGGGGTTGCAGACACTGAGCGGTTGGTCAAGTGAATGAGTTTAGCAACTGCATTCATGGTAGACTGAAGGGGGGATATCCTGTGTAGTGGAAGGCCAATGAGGAGGGAGTGGATGAGTAGTTTTGCGGTTTCCTTGGTGAGGAAGGGGCGTATTTTGGAGATGTTACGAAGGTGAAAGCGGCAGGATTTGGATAGTGATTGGATGTGGGGAAGAAAGGTGAGGTCTGAGTCAAGGATGGCGCCTAGGACCTTGGCATGAGGGGAGGGCTGGATAGTTGTGTTATCAATCTCAACTGAAATGTTGGGGGAAAGTGCATGGGCGGGAGGAAATATGATGAGCTCAGTTTTTGAAAGGTTGAGTTTTAAGAAATGTTGTGACATCCAGGCTGATATGTCAGTTGGTAGATTAGTAACACGCAAGGACACTGAGGGAGAGAGTTGTGGAGTGGAAAGATACATTTGAGTGTCATCGGCATAGAGATGGTATTGGAAGCCATGTGAGGTTATTAGTTGACCAAGAGAAGAGGTGTAGATAGAGAAGAGAAGGGGTCCAAGGACAGAGCCTTGGGGAACCCCTACAGAAAGAGGAAGAGGAGGGGAGGAGTTAGAATTGTAGGTGACACTAAAGGAGCGCATAGATAAATAGGAGGAGAACCACGAGCACAGTCTTGTAGGCCAAGCGACTGAATTTTTTTGAGGAGCAGCGGGTGGCCAACAGTGTCAAAAGCAGCAGAGAGGTCTAATAGCAAGAGTAAGGAATCGTGGCCATTGTTTTTAGCTGTTATTTGGTCATTTGTGAGTTTTAGGAGGGCGGTTTCAGTGCAATGTTGAGGGCGAAAGCCGGACTGAAAGGGGTCCAAAAGGTTGTTATTAGCGATGTGGCAACTCAGGCGGTTGTAGATAAGGCATTCTAGTAGTTTAGCGGTGAATGGGAGTAAGGAGATAGGTCTAAAATGATTGAGGTTGGTAGGGTCCAGTGAAGGTTTTGGTTCTGGTTGGGACTAAATTATTTTCTAAAAATATTCTTATTAGTCAGTTAAAACATTGAATATTAATATTTTCTCTGATAATTTAAAGCTATTTTAATAGTCTTACTGGTTGGAATAAATAACAAGTAATAGAACAGCTGAAATACCTTTCAGAAAGCAACATCAGCTTCAATCTCACCCTAGTGCTGCATACCTATCTTAGCTTAGGCACTTGGCCATGTGATTGCTGATAAAAGTAGTCACTCAGCTAATCAAACAATAATCTTCCCCTTCAGCAGAGATCACATGACCTAGTGCCTAGGTCTTTAGATATGTGACTAGCACTGAAACACTTAAACAACATCTTCTCTAGAGAATGTAAGTATTAAAACACTTCTAACATTCTTTATTTAACCATCTCTTCACGGCTGTTAACAGTAGCTGTACAGATCCACTGCATCTCAAATGTCTGATAATAGGACAGTAGTTAACAAATACGATCTATTTTTATTGATCTATACTTATGCTTACTTACCAGGAGGTATTATTGGCATACAACCAGATTTAGGATTTAGGGGGCACTTTACTGAGGAACACTCAGTATGGAAACTGTGATCTGAGAATATTCCAACATCCTGACACCGTCCATAGTAATCCACAGCCACCCGATCATAATATGCACTGCATACATTGCTGTATGTTTCCCCATTGTGTCCACAAACTGGTTCCACAGATTTGCAGAAATGCTACAAAAGTTAAAATTGTATAAGATTACATTTTTGAATATTACATTATCATCAGTTAATTATGAAGTAGTAATGAACCTAAAAGAAATAAAAACCACACAAAAAAATATCTGTGTAACATGGATGATGCAGGAATGGTCCAATAATGCAGTGGGTCCAGATAACCTACACCCCAAGGTACTTAAGGAACTAAGTGAGGTTATAACAAGACCATTATTCCTCATTTTCAAAGACTCAATAATGACTGGTAGAGTCGCAAGTGATTGGCTGAAGGCCACGGTAGTTCCAATATTCAAAAAGGGGGTAAGATGCCAACCTGGGAACTATAGGCCGGTCAGTCTAACATCGGTGGTTTGTAAACTGCTAGAGGGCATAATTAAGGACTATTTGGTAGAATTTGTTCAGGATAATGGGATAGTTAATGACAATCAGCATGGGTTCAGGAAAGATCGTTCCTGCCTGACTAACTTGCTAACCTTTTATGAGGGTGTAAGTAGAGATATGGATGGAGGGAGGCCGGTAGATGTGGTATATCTGGATTTCGCAAAGGCATTTGATACGGTACCACATAAACGATTACTACACAAGCTGAGATCTATGGGCATAGATGAGGTGGTGTAAACGTGGATAGATAGCTGGCTACAGGAACGGGTCCAGAGAGTATCTATAAATGGCACCTTTTCAGACTGGGCTAGTGTAATAAGCGGTGTGCCTCAGGGCTCTGTGCTGGGACCCATATTGTTTAACCTGTCTATTAATGATATCGGGGAGGGTGTGAATAGCCATATTTCAGTGTTTGCAGACGATACAAAAATAGGGAGGGTATTAGAAACGGACCTAGACAGTTTAGCATTACTGGAGGACCTGGATAAAATAGGGGAGTTGGCTAATATATGGCAGATGAGGTTTAATGTCGATAAATGCAAAGTAATGCACTTTTGGAAATAAAAACAAGCAAATGGGTTATGCAATTATGGGTATGCCACTAGGGAAGTCAGAAATAGAAAGACATGGGGGTCATTGTAGACCACAAACTAAAGGGTAGTTTGCAGTGCCAGGCTGCTGTAAACAAAGCAAGTAGTGTCTTGTCCTGTATTAAGAAGGGGATGTACTACAGAGACAAGTCTATAATTGTGCCACTTTATTGAGCATTGGTTCGGCCTCATCTGGAGTATGCGGTCCAGTTTAGGTCACCAGTATTAAGAAAAGATGTCCTATATCTGGAGAGGGTCCAGCGGAGGGCAACTAAACTAATTAGGGGAATGGAGGACCAGAGCTATGAGACAAGGCTAATAAATGTAAACATGTTCACGTTGGAAGTAAGGAGATTAAGGGGGGATATGATTTTCATGTACAAGATGCTCAATGGTGACAGCAACATTGGCAACAAACTCTGTAAGATTAACTCCGTTACAAAAACTAGAGGCCACCACCTAAAATTGGTGGAAAACAAATTCCAGGACAAGGGGCATCATCGGCAGTGATTTCAGCCAGGAGTGTGGAATTGTTCAAGAAACTCTTGGATGATTTCCTGAGGGACCGTAATATACAGGTGTACAAGTACTCCTAAGAAAGAGATGATGCGCGGACCTATATGGGTTGGACTTGGACTTATGTCTTTATTCAACCCCAAATACTATGTAACTATGAATCAAAGATATTAAACACTTAACACCCATTAGACTTTTAGCTGAGTAAATGAAAATGTGGCACAAAGCCGATAGCAGATTTTATTATGTTTCAAAGAACATCTGGTATAACAGCATACCAGATGTTCAAGTGTTCTAAACTAGTCACCAAACTTTAGTCCAAATTAGGTGATTAGCCATTTACTACTTTCCCACATCTGTGCCATAAGTATACGCTTAAGCTATCCATAGATGACAGTTGCATGATTCTGTGACCATTATGTCTGAGTGGGGTCCATCACCCTGCCAGGTGGCCAGTGGAGGAACAATTGACCGGGCAGTTCAGAAAAGTCACCAGATTCTTATTGTTTTTCTTCCTGAAGATGTTAAGCTCTGGTTGCATCTGCCACTACCATTGATCTCATTCCCTTTCATTTGAACAGAGACCAGCCAAACTGAACATTCCTGTTAATCTATTGCTTAGGCCTTGTGGTTGCCAGAGGGTGGTCACATTATGTCAGCACAGTTGACTTTCTTGCTTGTCCTGTGGGCTATATTTGGCTCTCATTAAACTTTGAGGTTACTATAGTGTCTCTACTTATCTGTTAGAACATATGCTTCATTATAGTATTTTTAATAGCATGAAGCCAAGCAGAGGTAATGTTATACATTATTAATAACATTGTTAAGTGCTATTTTTCATATTTGGTTTGGTTCACTGGTGCTTGCTATATGTTTATGTGGCACATAAATTGAAAAAGTTGTGGGTCTTTCTCTATAAAAAATATTATTAGGATTCATCAAAGGTGTACATATGCCTTCATCCTTATCTAAAAGTCAAACAAAGAACCTGCAAAGGCCAGTTTTGCATGTGTTACTTCTCACATTTACATAGCACTGATGTATTTTGCAGCAATATAAATGGTTCACATGTTCTCATGAATCATTCTCATTTTCTCAGTCATGTTATCAATCATGTTATGATCAATCAAGTGTTCTCACCACCAAGTGAGGTAACGTTGATTTGTAGGTTAATCAATGTCAAGTGACAGTGACCACTCCTGGGAGATGACCCTGATTTTCTAAAGGAGTAATGTATGTTCACTTTGCAAAGTTTCTCACCGTCTAGCACCCCTGTACTGTCTCCAATTCCCCATTGACACTATTGTATACTATGCCCTCTTTTACTATTCCTGTGCTCTGCCTCCTGTACTCTTCCTCCTGTACTCCTCTAAACTGCTGCTCTTGCCCATCTGCAGCACCCTCTCCTGTGTATTTCTCATGCTCCAGGTTTCCTGAGGACTGTCCTCCACTATATGTATCCTGCTACCGAATGTAGGCCTTTACTGTATTATACTATTATAAATGATGTTCTTTTAGTAGTGTTTTATGTTTTATTATGGATGTCAAACTGTTAGTATGAGTCAATCGCTTTATATGTAGTTGTTATACTGTGTCACAGGACAATGTTTTCTGCCACCCTGGTTGAAGATACCAAAATGTTATAACCTGTGTGCAGCCTTCATTCATATAGGAGCTGCTGTCAGGGTTCCTCAAACACAGAGGAAGCTGATCTCTGCAGTTTACCCCTTAGTGTAATCTGTAGGCACAGCTGTCATTCTTACAGTCGGTTCTACTCTATGATTTAGGAGGGCTGGCAGCTGGGGAAAAAAAACTTAGAAAATGTAAAATTGACAGCCCAGTCATATTCCCGGGGAAATCCACTGTAATCTGAAATACTCTGCAGGAACAGCTGTCAGTGCTTCTAATACATAGAGCAGATTTCAACCATTGTCTTAATCAAGTCAGTGGGGCTTAGCTCTTGGGAGCAGCAACATCTGCACCTTTTTCCCCAACCACGAGCCCAAGGCTGAAGTCTCTCTAGCCTTTGTGATGGACAGAAAACCATACTTGCTTAACTACATTAGTTACTCTTTATACTGTATAGGCACAATTCTTGGGTAAAAAGAAATATGTTGCATGGAAGTTACACATTTTTGCAACTGTACTCTGACTTCCAACCACCTGTATCACTGCTAGTTCTGTGGCCGTTTGTAGGTGAGCAATTAAAAAATTAGTAAAGCTGATGTATTCGTTATTTTTCACAAAAAAACCCAAGAAATTATAGTTGGAACCAATCAAAACACTTGCTTTGACTACGCTGTCCTGGAACATACAGCTGTAAACTAACTGCTGAATGTCACCACAGGTGATAACTTTAATTGTCTAGATACTCTGCTGTTTTCCAAATAAATGGAATTAAACTGAAATATGAATTGGCATGACTGGCTGATAATGTGGTTTATATTAGTTAAAAGATAAGTAAAGTCAAAGCTTTTTTTTACAGGGGTACATTAACTAATCTTTTCCTGTGACCCAAAGTCAGCGTATAGCGTGCTATTTCTCGCTATATGCAGGCAGCACAGAGGTGCGCTGCAGCCGGGAAAGATCCCAACAATATTGTCAGGATCCATCAGTCTGTTTGATTGACTGCTGCTTCTGCCTCTCTAGAGCCAGCCAGCTGTGCCCACCCCTCCCCTGTCTGTCCCTGCAGTGACCAAGAGAGGAACAGAGGGGGGAAGGGGGGATTTCTACGGGAGCCGTAACTGACTGTAAGGATGAGACCGTGAGATAAGCAGTTATTTAATCATTCAGCTCTTGGTATATAGAGCTGTCATGTGACAGCTGCATTGTCCCATGCCTGCTCTACGTATACTCTCCCGATTCTTTTCCTTTTAAAGAAGAATGTCACCATATAACATTCTTGAAGGCTGCCATTACAAATCCAAAAAGTACTTTGCCGGGTAGATATTTATATGCATTTTATACACAAATTAGAAACCCACAACTGATATTCCTTGTTTCTTATCAGATCTAGTTAGTATATTGTTCATTGGGTTCTCAATATCACCTGCCACACATCAAAATAATTCTCAAGAAAGTTGATGACAATTCAAATATTCCTCCTCCAATAAAGGATCTCTCCTGATTTTGCTGATTGCACAATTATGAAAACAAAGCTACACACTGGGATCAATTTACTAAAGGAGTACAGTATGTTCACTTTCAAAGTGAAGTTTCACTTTGCAAAAAGAATTTTCATTTATGTTTGTGAAGGAAGTGAAACAAAGTGAAAATTCACTTTGCAAAGAATCAATGTGCAAGAAACTTGGAGGGAACTCCACTCCAAGAAGAACTGAATGGAGTGTGTGCTGAATGGCGTAGTAGAAGGAAGTAGAAGGAACATGCCTTCCAGTGGGCTCAGATCATCCTGTGCTGTGAGGCTCCCAGCTCCCGAAGGGCTCTGCTCACACTGCGTCGCTTGTGTTGATGGCTTGGGTTGATGCTGCACAGAAGTACAGAAGCACTATTGTCATCAGCACAGCCCAGTCTGCATGGGAACACTACTGGTACCAAAACAGCCCAGTACTCTGCACAGAAGCACTACAGGTACCAGTACAGCCCTAGTATACTGTAAAGGAGCACTACTGGTATCAGCATAGCTCAGTACTCTTCAAAGCAACACTACTAGTACCAGCACAACCCCTCGAGATTGGAGCTTAGTAGAATGATGTTTCTTGCTAGAACTTTGATTTCACAAAAGTCAATTTTGTCACATCTACCTACAGTGGGCAAATTTAAATTTTCATTTAGCTTAACGAATACAGTGAAGTTGTGCTGACTTCAATCAATCAATCACCTGTGAGCAAAAATCCCCTTGCAAATCATTGGCTGTTTTTTGCAGAGTGAATTTCCACTGTATTCACTAAGATAAGTGACAGTTCAGTTTGAAAGTGAACATGTTCTACTCCTTTACTACAGCAGGGTCACTATATCTATTGAGACCACAAAGAGTCCAACTTCTTTAAGATTATTTGACTGTGAGAATTACTGCGGAACCCCTTTAGAAAAGGGTTTTCTATGTGCATGTTTCAGGCATAGCTTGCTAACATTTTTAGTATTATTCAAATGACAATAAAAGATGAAGTAAAACAGGAAATGAGTAGACATTTAATTAATGCAACACACTTCAGTCTATAGGGTAGAAAATTGAAAATGTTTTTGAATGACAAACAGAATGGAAAAACTCAGCAAATGTTGTACACTAACTAAAACATTAGCTAGCAAACTTGTGACAGTACTTTTTTGTTCACTTGCAAGTTTACAGCGTCTTGAAGTTGGTTGCATTAATCCCTTGGATATTTACAAATGAAAACAGACACATGTAAATTTAGTACCATTTTACTATCATGAACCAAACAATTTAAAGTGTATATGCAAATGAAACTATGAAATGATACAATACTATGATGGAAACATAATGGGAATTGTTTTACAGTAACAAAAGTTCCTTACTTAAGAACTTTCGTATAAGAAGCATTCGTATCAGTGTCTGTTTCAGTGATATCCACTGTAGTCTTGGGAGAGAAAAATAATATGTTGTCAGAATCAATCAACAGAGAACATTGTCTGGAAAATACTTTTTTTTTTGTTATTCAAAATTTTAGTCCCTTAGTCTTACCTGACATGACCCCTTATATGATAGTTGTTTTCCTCTTTGATACAAAGTGCAAATGTTGGGATGTTCCATATTATCACTATCACATACTGGATCTCGCAAATGTTCACATTTAATTTGACGTGGCATGCATTCATATTGGCGGCATTCAAATTTCTCAAAGCTGGTAAGGCAGACCTGTCTTCTTATAATGCACCTGTGTAAAGCAAATTTGGTTTAGGGATCTTCAACATAAAATTCATTAACTGACATTAATTAAAAAAACATGTCCAAAAGCCTAACATCGGTCTTAGAAGTTAAAATTCTAAAGCCTTCAAGCCACACAATGTCTCCAGGGAAATTATATCACTTTTTATGAAACTCAACAAGTTCTGCCCTACTGACCTTGAACTAACTTGCGGTCTGGGAGTCAGACAAATGGCCTCTTTCATCAGAGGCCATTAAGTACATGTATGACATAGTGGGGATTGTTTACTAAAGAAGTAGAAAGTTTAGTTACCTAGTGTAAACGTCAAATACTCAGTTATGAGCAAGGAAATATAGTAATTTTCATTGGCACGAATGCTTGGTTGATGTGAAAACAGCTTCACTGGGAATAGCAAATGGACAATGACAACAAATGGAAAATTCAAACACAAGGGGCGAAGGGGGTTCTTCTCAGTTCGCGCGGTTAGGGTCTGGAACTTGCTGCCTCAAGCAGTGATTTCCGCAAATAGTCTGGAATCATTCAAGAAGCTTTTGGACGATTTCCTGAGAGAACGTAATGTACAAGGGTACAGGTACTCTTAAGAATGAGAACACTCAGGGACCTACACACACACACACA